CCCTGAGACTTTGCAAGTTCTCCCACTTAGAAATCATGGAGGGGTCTGAAATTTTCAACATAGGTGAAAAAAAATCAACTGTTGGAGCAGTTATAAGAAAATGGAAGAATGGAAGAAGCTAAACATGACTGTCAATCTCCCTCATACTGGGGCTCCATGCAAGATCTCACCTCGTGACGTATCAATGATCCTAAGAAAGGTGAGGAATCAGCCCAGAATTACACGGGAGGAGATGGTCAATGACCTGAAGAGAGCTGGCACCACCTAGGTTACTGTGGGTAATACACTAAGACATCAGTTTCAAATCATGCACGGCACGGAAGGTTCCCCTGCTTAAACCAGCGCACGTCCATGCCCATCTTAAGTTTGCCCAGGACCATTTGGATGATCCAGAGGAGTCATGGGAGAAAGTTATGTGGTCAGATAAGACCAAAATAGAACTTTTTGGTCTTAATTCCACTCGTCGTGTTTGGAGGACGAAGAACGATGAATACCATCCCAAAAACACTGTCCCTACTGTGAAGCATGAGGGTGGAAGCATCATGCTTTGGGGTGTTTTTCTGCACATGGGACAGGACGACTGCACTGTATTAAGGAGAGGACGACTGGGGCCATGTGTTGAGAGATTCTGGGGAACAACCTCCTTCCATCAGTTAGAGCACTGAAGATGGGTCGTGGCTGGGTCTTCCAACATGACAATGACCCGAAGCACACAGCCAGGAGAACCAAGGAGTGGCTCTGTAAGAAGCAGATCAAGGTTCTGGAGTGTTCTAGCCAGTCTCCAGACCTAAACCCTTTAGAAAATCTTTGGAGGGAGCTCAAACTCCGTGTTTCTCATCAACAGCCCAGAAACCTGCTGATCTAGAGAAGATCGGTGTGGAGGAATGGGCCACAATCCTGCTGCAGTGAACCTGGTGAAAACCTACAGGAAATGTTTGACCTCTGTAACTGCAAACAAAGACTACTGTACCAAATATTAACATTGATTTTCACAGGTGTTCAAATACTTATTTGCAGCAGTAACACACAAATAAATTATTAAAAAATCATTCATTGTGATTTCTGGATTTTTTTTTAGATTATGTCTCTCACAGTGGACATGCGCCTAAGATGA